ATGCAGTCAATATTGAATTTTCCTCATCGAATGGCACCAATTGATAGCAATTCCAAATGCAATTCAATTATGATGAGCAGTGGACATTTGAGAAAAAAAAACTGAATTTATCGCATTCCAATGGGAATGAATTCAATTTATTTTGATGTCATCGCTTCTTCTTATTCTTATATTACTTCCGAAGTTCGAATTCGAATACTTTGACTGAGAAAGCTATCAAATACTGAGCGTGCTCTCCTCTTAGCTCAAATATGCTAGAAAGGCGAGAGGAAAAAGCTGTAGAGACTTGCACAACATAAGAGGTATGGAGAGTGAGCGAGCATTTAGAGTGAAAGAATGTATACTATGAAATATGTTGTAAAATACTTCAAAACCGTCACCTGCATCGTTAAAACAATAAAATATGTAATAATATGAATTTTTGCTTAAAACTTATAATCGTTGCGATGAAGGTGTTAATATATGCATTTTCAATTAATAACCAGCGACTGATTCATCCAACTGAATGATATCGAAGGTGAAAATGTGCAAATAATCATCGTAAGAATGCGATGTATTGTAATCACGAGCAGACAGCTACAACAGAGCATCGTCATCAACAGTCAGTAGAGCGCGGCATATACACTAAGTGCCGTTTTAATCCGTTTACACATCAATCACAACAGAAACTACAGCACCCATACTTAATGCCCACATTTATGCAAGCATGACGAAACACAAATCGCTTTACAAATATTCTTTTCAGCGAAGCATTCTTTGAATTTAAAAAAAATAATAACCATCAAGCCATTAAAAATGAGTCAGCGGTAAGTTTTTTTTTCATTTGCGCATAAAAATGTGATAAATTTTACGATATATGTATATATGTACAGCGGGAAAAATTCATTAACAGCTTTTAGACGAAAAGCGCGTGTCACCAGTGATGGCATTTTGCAATATGCACTTTGCGTCAGATCGAGGGAGAGTAGTTTTCGTTCGTTGAATCGTAATTTCCGTTCATTATAATTACGGTTTTCTGTCGGTGGCATACATGGTTTTCACATTCGATGCACGCGCTCGAGCATTTCACACGTATTTAATGTTCTTCAACTAGAACATCAAACGCCAATTTCATCATAGTGCATCAACCACCTACACACACATATTTCCGTAATCGCTACTCTCACCGAACTCAACACAGGAAGCCAGAGACAGTGGAATTATAATGTCAAAGAGCCGGGCGCGCACGTGAGAGAAAGAGAGTGAAACCAAGACGCATAGACCGAATGAAAAAGAGACCATTTAATATTAAAAACACTTGAATGCGACTCGAGATGAAAAGCACATATTCATTTTGATCATTTGTTTGTGCTGGCTGTTCGTCTTTCTTTATGGTTGGTTTCATGTCAGTGCTTTGTACCTCATTAAGTTCTGGTGTTCATTCAACGGCCAAATAACTTAAATATAAATCGTTCTAAACGAAAGTGAAATGCGCATCACCATTTGGTCACGGTTATGTTGCCTATGGCGAATATTAAGTGTTTGCACCGAACTATCTATGCCAAAAGCAAAATTCGTGGCATTGAATTACAAGTGAATGGTCATTGCTTCACTTATTTTTTCTATATAATTTCACCTGAGACCCTTTGTAATTGTACGCCCTACAAACTGTGCTTGTTTTTCATCAACGACGGTGGACGGTGTTGAAACTTTGTTCTAAAGTGTAAAGTTCCAACACCTCTGTTATTTCCATCACATTTTACCGATGGCAAAGACTTTTTCCCCATTCAGAATTAAGTACACTGGAATGAAAGTCTCAGCACAAATCAAATCTTATTATAAAAATAGGCGTGAAACTTAAATTTTAAATGGATTTCAATTCAAGCACGTGAAAATCTAATTTCTGCCATTCCATGCGGAGAGAATGGGACTATCTCATTGAGAATGTGTCTTTCATTGCAAGAAACTGTGACAAAATTCATGACATTTTTATCTGATTTGAAGAAAATCTCACTTCATTTCGACGGGGATCAATTGAAAATGAAATTGTTAAGCTGCTTGTTTGTATGTCTAGACATGGGTCGGGAGTGTATTTCTGCTTTTAATACTTTGACGTGCTTTGGTGAACTGTATGTATTAAAAATGTGCTGATGGTTCAAGTTCATTTGTCGCCGTCGTTTAATAAAAGGCTTTCTGTACAATTTTTTTAAAATATTTGCTGCGTGCCAAGAATATATGAAGTGAAATTTCAAAGTGCTGCTGCTGCTATAAACGACAATAACCATTGTAATAATAATAAGTTTAGATTATGCATAAAAAAGTGCACATTTAATCGTTCAAACACAAGTAATCGAATGCCATCGTCGTCATTCGTGTGTATGAGAATGCGGCTTTTGGCAAATAGACTGTGTGCGTGTGGAGTAATTTGAGCCACATTTCGACATTTTCATTGCATTTTATTTACACCTTAATGATGGATCGGAGTGGGGAACTTAAACCCGGTAATATGATGACTATTGTCCGTTCCTAAATCTACGACAACGCCATCTCTTGTTCCCTTGAAATATATAGTTCAAATCAAAGATATTCATTGTAGTTGTTGAATGCGAGAAACAATATATACAGACAAACATCACACGTACGCTTTAAATTAATAATAAAATGAATTTTAAATGGGGATTTTTTTTTCAAAAAATGTGGGATAAAAATTAAAAGCTTTTATTTTATTTTAAATTAAAGCGAAAACTTTGTCACAGAAATAGCTACTGATGTGGAACCAAAGGTGGGGTTTTCGGTTTAGATGCCACTGACGTTTACATATAAATATGTCAACGAAATCCCCGGTTAGGGGACTTATAAGTCATAGAGTTGCGATGAAATAAATTCGTATGGATTTGAAATGTGCACGTTTCTAATGTGTCAATTAAAAAAAAAGGTTTTGCGGCAACAATGAGTTCGATGAAGCCATCGATTTTACATGATCTCACACACGTGTTTATGGAAAATAAATTGCATTTTCAGTTCATTCTTGTCACTGGAAATATGATATGCTTCTCACAGATCGTTGGTCATTTTAATGAAAAAATTAATTAAATAAACATACGAGAGAGGTGAATAAGACCGTCATTTGAAACTAAACAACAACAAAATATGCAATACGAATATGGGAGCAGTTTTTTTTTATTGTTTACCATATTTCATGCATCCTGGGTTCAAGATATGCGGCGAATATCTCTCATGGGAATCGAAAACTACGCCGAATATTCGAAGGCGGCGATTGCACGATGTTTTCACCGACAAGCGATTATCGTATTTCGTCTCCCTCCCCCGAACGAACTGCTCTTTTTTTCGCTTGCTGGCTTAATCGCAATTTCCAGTAATTAAAATTAGACAGATTAAACACGACCGAACGAAAAAAAAAAACCAACAACGATGAACTGAATGAGTCAGAGGGCAAAGCATTGAAGAAGAAAAATGGTGGGTCCGGGGTACATATCGCGCACATTGATAACAATAAACGTGAGCGTACATTGTGTGTGCAACCATACTAGTGCATATCGAATATATATTTGAATTCAATATAAACGGCCCGACTTTTCGATCGTTCGTAACACAAAATCAGCAACTTAATCGCCAACTTAAACCTAGTATCATATAATGGAAACAAATAACAATACCTATTTATTTATTCGCTTCAAACGGTGCTGTGCTTCTTAAGCGAAAATTGGCCGAAGAGAGAAGAGAGACGGGAAATAACCACGCAGAAAATTGTGCCCGTAATTGATATTGGCATAATCTACGTAGAATCGATTACTTAATGACGGGGAGTTTATATTCGCAAAGTTCATTGTATCTCTCTCTCTATCGCTCTCACTCTCTCTCTCTCTTGTTGTCTTTTCGTTTCCTTTCCTTCTCGCTGTCGAAACTCTTCAGCTGCATATCTCTATTTTTCCGCTTACATTTTTTATTTAAAAAAAAAAAATGATTGTAAGCCTTTACTCTTTACGGAGGATAATCTTAAATTGAATTATTCTTGAAAAAGACTCGCTTTTGCTATGGCAATATTGATTTTATCTGATTAATGGGAATTTGGCAATGTGCCGTTATACTCAGTCGCATGAATTCAATTCAATTTTGAAGTGAAAAAAAGAGAAATTCTCTCGCTTTCGATAGATGGATACAAAAGCATCCAAGCGAAAAATGCATGTTTGGTGACTTTTTTAACGCTATTTCTATTGTCTTTGATTTTTCGGTAGAAGTATTTGTCAATCGTAACTTTAAGGGCTTCATATCGCATAAACTAAACTACAATTCTCCAAACTCTTGATACTTTGTTGTTTGACTTTCGAAGAAAGGGAAAAAACATTGAAATGCTTCGATTGAGCGCCCGAAAAAAACACACACACGCTGTAACACAGGACATATGCATGCCTTATCAAAGATCTACTTGCCAATTGCATGCCAGAGTTGGGGCTAGTTCAAGAGTTCATTCGGACTATTGACACTTTTCAGAAAAATTTCTATATGACCGACACGAAGAAGAAGAAAATCTCCCAAAAAAATATATTCAAAAAATTCCGTCTGTCTTTGATGTGTGTATGGACTTTTTCGCAGAATTGTTCAATCTATGTTCAAATTGTGTTTGTTTTCGTTGCTTCGGTCCCATGTTTGAAGCACTAGCGAAACGAGCACGAAGAAAAAAAGAACTTGTCATGTCGTCGACATCTCAAATTACATGTGATCGTCACATTTTACGCTTTATTCGCTTTTATTTATACCACAATTGTTTATAGTTCATGCTTCTCTGTCTTCCATTCTCTCATGTGTTTCTATTTAAAGTTTTGAGCGCGCAAAGGCGTTTGGAATTTTGTCATTACATTTTGCGTTTGGTGTTTATGGGTATTCTTTTTTCTTCATTCGTTCTCTCTTTCATTTGTTCAATTCTTGTTTGCGTTATTGTTCTGTTTTTATGGTTTATTTCATGAACACAAAAAAAACAGTCTACATAATCAGATACTTACACACAATGACAACGTGAATCGTACGCAGAATATGGCCCGCTTGATGTTTGGTTGCTGTTTGTATGTCCGTTATGTGTATATATGTTGTGTTTGTTATCACTTCTGGAAACTCAGCAGAAAATCCAAATTTGGTGAAACCTAAAATGAGAGAAAGAGAACACGTTTATAAATGCACAACGACAAACCAGTTTTTATTCTCAACGGAAAAATAAAAACGTTTCATCTCAATTGATGAAGACATCGACACATTGTGTGAATGACATTAAAGACCATATATACAATATACGCAATAGGAATGGCAATAAACTGGAGAATAGCCAATTTTGACCAGATATACATGAACGCACGCATCGCACACAATCGCCGCTGCAAGTTCCGTATTCAGTATTGGCGATTCATTCATCGCTTTTTGTTTCAAGAGAATTCAAATGATTTCGACATGCTGACACTGTGTGCCGTAAAGCGTCATAAATGGCATCCATTAGGCATTGGCACACATTGGGTGGTGCTTTTTTTCCCGAATTGAAACAATATCATCTATGATTCGTTTAAGTTCAAATCGCGCAATTTTTGTACCATTCACATGAAAAAAAAAAAAAAAAAAAATACAAATCGTGTAAGCCGAAATTGAAAGTACATCGAGTGAGACAAATCGAATGAATGGCAAAAAAGAGCCCCAACTGAAACCGACAAAAAATTGAAATCAAATTTCATGAAAAAAAAAAATTGAAATTCGATTAAATTTTTGAGATTCATTCCAGTTGCATAACATCGAGAAATTGAATTTAAAATCAGCGTGTGTCGATAAAATTATGAATTATTACTATGATTTATACAATATAATCGCGGCCGATCAACCGCATTATTCAATCAATTCCAAAAATAACTGAAAAAATGGTGGTTGTTGTTTTTTTTCATTCGCTTTACGTGCAAAGGTCAATCATACATCAATGTTCTGTTCTCTTTGTGCAATTCAATTTCATTTAATGGCCATCAATCGGACGGTATGCGTTATTAATTCAATTAGCCGACTATTGAATGTGATAAACGTGCTTCGGCAGAGAAAAAAATCGAAAATTGTATCAAAACTCTCTTTTTTCATGTTATTTTGCGGTAGAAAATTATAAATTAGTTTTCCGCGCCACAAACACACGCGCAGAACGATTAAAGTCGAGAGCGAGAGCGAGAGAGAGATACGAATAAAGAAATTGATTTTCCAAAGTGTAAAATTAGTCGATGTGAATAAAGAAAAAAATCGAATTGTTGTCGGCATACATGACCAATGTAATCAGAAAAATATGAGATTGAAAATTGAGACAACCAATTTATTTCCTCAATTCTTATTCACCGTTCCTCTTGCCCGATCGTCATTCTTGATGAAGCACAGTCATTTACCTTTGGCACTTTTGGCCGCCGACAACTTTAAACATTTAACGCAATTCTTTTCCCACATTCTCAAACCGTTTCAAATTCAAATCAATTCCGTAACACACTGCCACCATAAAGATCCACCGGACAATAACAAAAATACCAAGAATTTTGGGTTGAAAGCAGGTGGCCATCGCCTTTTGTATATTTCCTACATTTTTAATCGATACGCACGCATTTCATTTTTCGATCATTTTCAAATAAAACACAATGATCAACCAATGAATTTAAAACCATTCAGGAGTATTGGGGAATAGCCTACGGATCACAACAGAATTCTTCACTCTTGAAATCCGAATAATTTTTGAACAAGTCATGATGCACTCAAACATTTACAAATCATTGAAAACGATCGTTGAATGAAAACAATCGGATATATGGAGATAGTTCATTTTATGCAGCAGCTACTCCCTACTTGAAACTTGATTTCGAATTATTTCTGGAGAATGAAGGTAGTCTCTCTATCTCCCCTTCTCCTTCTTTCTTTCTGTGACATGTTACTGTATTGATTGATTGTCGAATAAAGAATAGAAAAAAAAATTGAATATTTTTTTTAAATGACAGAAAAAAGTGGGTTTTAAATGACTTTGGCTTGCTTGAGTTGGAATGTGGAAATAGATGAATTCTTTGGCGAGGGCTATCAGGAATCAGTGGACCAACAAACCTGACCCTTTAAAAAGTCGTCAAAAAATCACCTGATCCTACTTTCGTTACACTTCATCTAAGTTACCAATGAATATCTATAATACTTGATATAAAATCATACCCGTGTACGGTCCAACAGTTTTTCCTTTGTGACGTGCTGTGTTACTTTGAGAATGAAAGATCAATGAATCCAATTCATTGGAATTTTCACCTTTAGTTTGTCAAGTTTTCAGTTTTGCATGGTTGAATCGGTTCAATGCATTTAAGTCATTTTTTACGTAATCGAATCAAACGTCATAGAACATGTTTTTTAGTTCATGAAATTACCTTCTTTTTTTAAAGAAAAAAATCTTCGCATTTCGCGCATAACTTCGTGTAATTTTGTTGGCAATTCGATTGGAAAAGAATGTTCGAGTATAAAATGCACGCACCGGCAAAATCAATCGAAACGAAAAATTGAACCGTAATCGACATAAATGAAACCATACAGAAAACCATTCAATAATAAAGAGATGTGATGGTGTTTTTCTTCTTGTTGCTGTGTTGTTATTCATGATCGGAGTGACTTATGGTGAATTCGTGATATCACAATCGAAGCATAAGTGAATCAAATTAGAAAGAAAACGGTGATTATGGCAATTGAAAGCAGGCAAATTAGTGGGTATTAAATGGAGTCAATTTTGAAATGGAGCTATTTTGTCTGATTGGGCAAGAGAAAGGGGAGACAGGAAAAAAAAATGAGATGCATTGTATGATTCGTCTAATCCAATTAACAATGCCCATTGAAGCGTCCACCAAATTTACGAATATTTTTTTTAAAAGCATATGTGGATAGGGAAACAAAAATAAGATCGATGTTTGTGAAAAAGAAATCAAACTTCAATGGAGTCTTGTTTTTTTTCTTCTCTCACATCTTCGAGAGTGTGAAGAACAAAAGACATTTTACAGTTGGAATGAGGTGTGTAAAACGGTCGCCAATAAAAACACGCTTCGTACGTGTCTGAGAAGATATACATATTTTATGCGATGGTGTAAAATGAAGAGGAAATGAAGGGAAAAAAATGAATATTTAATATAAACATGTGTGAACGGTATGTATTCTTTTCCTTTGGCATAAAAGCCAATATTCGTGATTTATATGATCGATTTGTGCCCGAAGACTCAATCAAAGGTATCGATTTTAAATGGATGACGGTGTCAATAGCAGAATCAAATGATGAAATCCGCATTGAGTTGTTTTTTTTTTGTTTTAGAATCGTGTTTCTCGCTTCTGTTCGATCCAAATGAACGGTTTAGCTCGAATCGATTTTTTTTTTCATTCGGTCTTTGGGTTAATGCATGAATTTGATGGCGGCAATCAATGTTTGGCCATTACATTCTCGGTTAGAAAAATTAAATTAAATAAATGTAGTGGCCGCAACAAAGTAAAAAAAGAGCAACGATTACAGAGCAAAAGAATGATGAAAATTGCGCCTCAACCAGATGGGCCAAGTGAACGAACGGACAAAATGTAATCAAGTCTAAATGTGCGGTTCAAAACATTCTTTGCACACATATACAATCAAACCGCAACAACAAATTACAAATAATTGCAACCAATACAAAGTCAGACTTCGTTTCATCGTTCAGCGCACAACCGTGTGTTGGTTGGTTGGTGTGACCAAGAATATGTGCGAGCAAATAGCATGACAAGATGAAAACAGTAGAAAATGATTCTGTTATTAGATTATGGCGTTTTTTTATATCGTATTTTCTTTTGTGTGATGGTCAACGATATTCCTTCAATTACGCACCATTGCTTGTGTATTTTATCATCATTACCGCCATTCAGTTGCGCGTAACACAATTCAGTTCACTCTCGACATTTTTGCGAATTGTTTATTCGGAAGTTTTTCACTGAAGAGCACCAACAACAAGAAGAAAGACCGAAAGAGAGAGTAAAGCGCGATCCGTAAAATGTTTACGTAATTTAAAAGGCGAGATATGAAAAACGATGGACAGTAGCTGCTTCAAAAAGAGGCAAATAAAAGGTACGAAAATGAAGAAAAAAACATAGCGGCGACAATATACAAAATAATAACAATAAAATTATGTGGATTGGAACGAAGTAAGTGTGTAGAACAGTGTGGCGTTCATTGGCTACTGTACTACAACATGGTTAATCTTAATGAGTGTGGATTTATCTATTGCTGACACAACTGCTGCTAGCTGTTTTTCATATGTATGTTTTTTCCATTTTGTACGTGATATTTTCTCGACAACATGGTCAATGATTATGATGATGATGGTGAAAAGAAAAATCGATGCGTACTAGCGCGATAAAATCATGCACACGGGCCAATATTACATGACCGCTATTATTTCCTCTTTTTTTCTTCCTCTATTTTGTTCTCAGGCCTTCGATTCCATTCTCACTCGTCTTTAAAAAAAAGATTTCTGTCTTTCTCGCATTTCACCGCTACTAATGTTTGTAGTTTGGTCATCAAATTTGCGTGATTGAGACGATTTATTTACATTTCGAACCAAACCATGTTGATTTCAATTTAATTTCGGTAAGTGAAACGAAATTCAACAAATAATTGAAAGCACTCAGAAAGAGAAAAGCAAAAAAAAAACACCCGTAAAGAATTAATTCCGTCCGACGCCAATGTAAACCAACGAAAAACAAATGGAAATCAACAGAGACTCAGTCAATATTGAGTTTTTAAGTAAAACAGTGTACGCGATCGTAAACAGCAACGAATGGGAAAAAAATGAGTGTGTAATCTCGGTGGTTTATGTTGATGTTTGACTTGTCATCAAATCAACATTCAATCGAGCGAAACGACAAAGTAAGAGAGAAAAAAAACGCCAACCACGACGTAAAGTAATCTAGAGCTAAAGAGCAAAAGAAACATCAATAGCTAAGCAAAAAAGCAAGTAGTTTAGCATGTTCAAAGAAAAATCACCGACAACATCGTTTAGCATTTCGCGTTCACCTGAATTGCTTGCTCTTTGCTGACTTTTCATGAGCGCGAGCATGAGAGCGCCCGCTCACCCCACCGATAATCAGTGCTGCGTGCATG